CAGCCTAACGTACGCGGTTTACAAGTCTGTCGAGTTCTTCAAGTTGTCCGCTTACATCGCTTGAAATTGCGAATACCCCGAGCTTGAAATTGAGTCAGCGGACAGCCTCGGACACCGCGGTCGGGCGGCTCTTGGCTAATAAAGGGCGCTGTTTTCCATAAAATTTCATTTACACGCGGCATAATGGATAAGAGGCCGCCTTTCCTCGCGGGAGAAATTAACGCAACGGCAAAAAAGGAGCGTCATTCGTTAACCCGACTGACTGCTTCTCTCTGGCCAGAGATACAAGCGGAGCGCAAAGTAACGCCGCAAGGCGGAACCGCGGATCACACACGGGAAACGTATCTCGTAGCGGCGAGGAGGAGAGGGCGAAGGGGGTGGTCGTGGCAGAGAGACGGGGGACGGGGGAGGGGACCCGAGGGGGGGGGGTACGGAGAGAGGTACAACAGAGCAGAGGCACCCTTCGCACGCTGTAGCGGCACAACTACACTTCGCCACATCGATTTTACCGGCTCGCTTGCACTCACACTCGGTCGACCCGTTCACTGAAGGAATGTCTCATACGCCTTCCTCCTCCCTCCCCCTCTCCTCCCCCCGTCGTATTCTCTCCTCCCCCTTCGAGCCCCCGCGCACCGGCTCTCTCTCTGGCTGTTCGCCGCCACCCCCTACGAACCCGGTCTCTGTCAGTCACGGGGACGGCTCTCTCTCTATCTTATCCCGTCCATCCCTCTCCTCCATCCAAGCTCGCCAACGTCTGCCCCCGCTCCCTCGCCCGTCTTCCCCCGCGTTCCCATCCCTCTCTCTCTCTCTCTCTCTCTCTTTTTCCTTTCCTCTCTCGTTCGCTTGTACATTCTACCAAAGTGTCCCTCTTTCTCTCTGACTCTGTTGTGTGATGCGGGGCGGTAGCAGCACCGCGGGGAGAAGTGAGAGGGAGGTTGCACCTTTTGCCGCATCTCGGAATCTCGCGCGTTGCTCATTTGCCGTACATAGAGAGAAGCGAGAAAGAGAGAGAGAGAGAGAGAGAGAGAGAGGGAAAGAAAGAAAGAGAAATAGCGCCGGAGCGACGAAGAGAAAGAGAGGGACGGCGGGACGAGGGAACGGAGAAAGAGATAGAGAGAGAAACCTCGGGGCTAGGTAGTAGTATGCGAGAGCGGCGGTGGCACGGTGGTCGGACAGTTCCAGTTCCGTTTCGATTAGGCGAGTCCACGCGCGCGCCGGGTTTTTGGCTCGCGCTCTCGCAACGCGTCGTGCGCGTGGAGAGAAAGAGAAGGAGGAAGGAGAGCGTGTACGCGCGATGCCGCTCGCCGTGTCCATTGACGTCGTCGCTCGTTGCGATCGCCGTCGCCGTCGCCGTCGCCGTCGCTTGTGCTCTTGCCGTTGCTGCTGCTGCTGCTGATGCTACCGTCTCCGCTGTTTACTCGGCGCGCCAGCCGCACGCCAACATTTACGAGCGCATCCAGGGGAAAACGGAGTGAACGGACCTCGTGCGGCGAGGCGCAAGAGAGACGGAGAGAGAAAGAGCTCGTCTCTCGTAGACGTACAACGCGCTACGAGACGCGGCTCGGTCTTACGTTACTCCGCTCGGCCACGGCTCGCTCGTGAACGGACCGACCTCGCGGTTATGGCCACGCCAGGGGCAGGTCGTCAGGGTTACAGGCGTGCGCTGTAAAAAGTCCTACATGCCCCGATTTACCGGGTTCGCACATACGTACGTATACACGCCAGCCATCTACGCGCGAATCGCACCCGTGTACGTTTGTCGCACGCAGCATCGTGCGCGCACACGCGTATAACGTATGCGTATACAACTTCGCAACACCGTCACGCGCATCTGCTGCTCGCGCGATCGTATATACAATGCGTTGCCATCCGTCTCGGCAGCGAATCGCAATGACATCAGAGAGACCGAGACAGGACTCGCCTCTCTCTCTCTGTGTGTCTCCCTCTCTCTCTCTCTCTCTCTCTTTCTTTCCCTCCGCCGGCCCTCTAGCCCAGTTCCGGGCACGGCCACTGATCCATCGATAAGGAAGTTTGCTGTCCTCTCCCGCGGTGAACTTGTTCGGTGCCGGTTCGTGCGCGATACGCGAGGAATCCACGGGAACGGGCATCTCGTTGTCGCATAGTCGGGGTCGGGAGGCGAGATACACTGCCGGTCACGTGACCGGGCTACCTGCTGAACGGCGCGAATTACGGGCTGTGGGAGCAAAGTATGCGATTAGACGTGCGCGCAAGGTGTACACGATCGTGATTCGGAGAACCCGGGCACTCGATTCTCGAATCTATTCGACGGAGAGACGTACGCGGAAAACGTTCTGCTCTTACAGAGAAGTCGCGGGCTGATCTGGCCACTCGCGCGGTTTCCAGCCAATCGACTGTCAACTTTTCTGCGAGAACGGGATTTTCGCGTACGTTTCTTTTTCGAATGAATTGAAGAATCCAGCCGCCGGTCGTATCTCTTGGCGTATCCACGGCTCGGCGAGATTCGCTGGACGATGTCGGTCTCTTCTCTCTTTTTTTTCCCCCCTATTTCTTTCCGCGTCAAACGTCAGACACGTCGATTGTCATGGCGATCGACGTGTGTCATCGACCGAAAAAAAGAGATTACGTTTAAATCCTCCATAATAGCCTCGCGCGAGCTCCCGAAGTAAAACGTTACGTTATCCCATCCTTCGAATCGCACTCGGGTGCAGTCACGTTCGAACACGTTGACGTTATTTCTAAGATCGCAAGAGTAGAACAAAACGGAGATACGTATTAATTATTGTCATTAACCTAGTTTTGCCGAGCGAGATCGTCGCCGGGCGAAAATCAATTTCGCCATTTCGGTAGGATGGATTTTTTAAGTAAGCAATATTCGTTTTCTCCTCCTCTCCACGGGGCGAGCACTCGCTCCTCGCGCCTCACGTGCACTTTCCTTCTCTCGGTCCGCGCCGAGATATAAATAAGGTAAAACAGTGTGTCTCTCTCGCGCGCGCGCGCGGAATAGCGCCGCCGCGACAAAAATAAAAGCGTCATGAATCTAAGTAGACCGCCGTGCAAAGTTGATACGCTATATAAGAAGCGCGCAACTAATCGGGTCAATTAGATCAGGCTAGATTTTTCGACGATTCACCGTCAAGCGAGAACGGATAGGCCACTCGCCGGCGCGCGCGCGGCTCTCGCATAACTTCAGTGCGCGCCGGTAGACCGCGCGACATTCAAACGTTGGAGATCTTCTCCAAATGACTGTCGGACGTTCGTATGTTACAAACAGGAAAAGTGCATTAATCGTACGACAACATTTATCCACGTGGACGTTGTTTAGTGACTTTCGCTCACGCGGCAGGGCTCTTCGCACGAGTTTCGCGACGACGTAGCGTCCGCGGTGTTAATTCGGAGAGGAGAAGACGGTCGTGAAAGAGAGTGCGAGCGTAGTTGACGCGCGCGGCAACGCGAGGCGAGAGAAAAACGGGCCGAGGTGGAAAGAGAGAAGGCGCGTTGCAGACGCGCGCGCGTAATTTATCGCTACGCGGGACGCGCGACGACGACGTCACACACTTTGCGCGCCGCGCCGCGCCGCGCAGCCGGCCGGAATGACGTAGCGTGTCGTCGCTCTCTTCTCTCGCTTATCGGTGCTGTTAATCGTGGAGGCGCGGCGCGGCGCGGGGCGGCGCCCCCTCCGCTCTCCCCGCCGCGGACGCCGCGTCGCCACCGGTGGCCGCGGCCGCGGCCGCGGATGGCCGCTTACGAAAATATGCGCCACGCGAGCGAGAGAGAGAGAGAGAGAGAGAAAGAGAGCCAAGTTGAACCGCGGCCTCGGCCACGGTGCCGTAGGGAGTTCAGAGGCGCGATGTAGTGAGTAAAACTGCCCCCTCGCGGTGCGCGCCCGCGGTTCCTGATCATCGCCCATGCACTTCTCGAATCGTGCGCGCCGTCAAGTTCTTACCTCCTACCCCGCGCGCGCGCGCGCGCTACACTAACCTTCCTCCCGCTCTCCCCCCCTTTCCACCCGGGCCCCTTCCATGCCGTCGTCGCCCTCCCCCTCACGTCCTCGCCCCGCACGCGCCCCCGTTGCCCCTTAGAACCTCTGTCGCCCTTCCGCTCCCTCCCGCCCGCCCTTCCTTCCTCCTTCCCGCCCGCCCGCCTGCCTCCCCGCTGCTCTAAGGTCCTCCATTTTGTCGTGATTCCTCTAGCTCTAAACGTATATCGGACATTTCCCTTACACGCCGCCGCCGCCACTTGCGGCAGGATCGCGCGTGAAAATTCCGTTTGCCGTTGACACACCGCCAATCGGCCCCGGACGGCGCGATTACTATGGGACTCCACCATAGGTCGTCCTGGAAGGTGTCGGTCTCTCTCTCTGTCGCTCTCGCTCCGTCTCTTTTCCTCCGCGCGCGTTTGCTCCTCCTCTCCTTTACGTGCTACCATTCTTCTTTCTTTCTCTCGCTCCGTCTCGCTCGCGCGCGCGCGCTCTCCCTCCCTCCCTCTCTCTCTCTCGCGCGCGCGTTTCCCCTTGCGCGCCCCTCCACGCATCGTCCGGCGCCCCTCATCCCTCCCCTTTTCTCCGTTCCATAAGTCTTTCTCTATCCTTTCAGGTTTGTTCCCCTTAGAGTAAATCGTGTCTTTTTAACAACACGCGATTCTACCGATTCGTGGCGTCGTACGCCGGTTTTCGCCGTCCGCGGAGCGTAACCTCTCTCGTGCCGCCCGTGAGGGATCATTGAAGCCGCCAGTCTTTCTCGTCGTTCTCGTGAATGTGCCCTCGTCCCCGTCGTTGTCATCGCTATCGTTCGTGGTCGGTCTCGCACGCCACTTCGCCTCGCCGTGCGAACTCGTCATTACTATGTGGCGGCGACGTGCCTTACTCTCGATAACGGTTGAATCGCACAGGCGCTCCTTGTGACTGTAGTCCCGTCGCTGTTTGGTTCGTCGCATTGTTTCTCCTCTCTTGGCTGTCCGTCTCGCCGCTCGACCAGGCCCGCAAGCGTATCTCACGCCGCCCGTTTCTTCTCTGCTTTCAGATGTCTGCTGGGTCACAAATTCAGATGGCACCCCAAACAACCGTAAACTCTGGTCAGACAGTTCATAGTCAAGACTCGAACATGAGCACTGGTAAGTCAGATTCATTCTCTCGGGGGTTTGATACGCAAGTGACGGGAATCTCGCTTAAGGTATATCACTGCTTTCCGCACGTCCTGGTCCTCTGAGCAACTCGCTTGCCTCAAGGATAAAGCTTGGTGCATCTGGGAAAGTTCTCTTTCAATCGATTCCTATCGAACGTTGCGCGGCAAACGAGCGATTCGCTCGTCTGCTACGATTATCTTAAGTCAAAATTAAAACTTAAAGGTGCCATGGCGGTCTTTCTGACATTGGACTATCAATTCTGCAGGCTCATCGCATAGTGATAAGGAGGTGGATGCAAACACTCCAGAAAAAGTACCACGGACTACTTCTGAGAGGAAAAGAAAACGTAAAGCCGACGACGGAGGTGGAGGTGTCGCAGGTGGTTCTGTAGCTAGTAAGGGCGCTAGATCGGTTGCTGCTCTTGATAATAAGAAGATCAACGAGTATTTTCCAAAGCATCATCTGGGTAATAGTCCTATTCGGCATGGCGGAGCCAAGAGCCCCTCCCCTCAGCAGAGTTATCCTATGGTAAGTCTCAGCGTCGACGCCACAAGAATCGTCTCAGTGTTGCGAATACGCCTGCGTAACGTGTGTGTGTTTCCTTGCCAACAGTATCCGCCGTCACCTCAACAGTTACTTTCGCCACAAGTAACGACACCTAATTCCTCGGTGGCGGAATTCTCTTCGCTGATGCAGCCACCGAGACCTCATCCTCAACCTCCACCGCCTCCACCACCAGCCACGTCGCAACCTGCGAGCTCGACGGCCAGCAAGCTGGTGCAGGTAAGGCCTCCCAACCTCAATAGGACAAGCCAGGTCAGGCAAGCGAAGACTAACACCCCAAATGTAAGCAAAATTCGGTAATGTCTGCAAGCATTTTATAAGAAACGACTCAAAGTGTGTACTAGTATTTCTACTGCGACAGCTAGCAGTTAGACATAAGGATACGTAAGCTTAAATACCTCTCAGAATCTCTCTTCCATTGTTAATCTGACAAAATGTAGCAGTTCTGTTGCTATACAATAAGCGAAGCTGTCACTGTTATTCTCGACGATTGAAATGTACTGATAAAAATGTAGAATTACTGTCTAGTGAAAAATTTGTATGCTGGTATCGCATTCGCAAAGATGCGATACCATCTGCCTTCGTTTAATTGTTTGCGCAAAGACTAAATGATAAGTGCAATAGAACTGGAGACAGATTGATAGATAATTATAAAATTTAATTTTTTGTAACATTCTATCTATGTGAAATGCAGATAGATTGGAACTTTCGTATGCTTATGTTTGTGATCTCATGATGGGCGCTTCTTATCAAATGTTTGCAGTAAAATCAGCTAATTTTTGGGCAAGTTGTAGCACTGTATACATTTGTTATTGTACAAATACAGGCTGTCTTGTAGTGCCACTCGTTTTCATTTTGAGATACTCGTCTTGAGGATTCGACTACCTCCAAAAGTACAAACGTGTCTAGTTTCTTTATCGCTCGAGCACAAACGAGCGTTACTAAAGACATATTTTACCGCTTGACATCTTTTATTTCTTAGGATTCACATTGAACATTGCATTTGAGTTCTAATGAGTCCAATATCGTTCGACTGTTCGAAGATTGATTAAAAATCCAACGTATTAAAAATTTGGTTGGGGTTTTACACATATAGATATTATTGATGTTTGTATGAGAGCATTTTATACATGCGTACATTTTTGGTGTTTTTCTTGCTGCCTGTGTGACCTTCAGTTCCATCAGCATTTATTCACGTTGCCTAAGTTTCGCTCACTAGTTCATTTTTCATAATAAAGAGAAAGTCACGTGTCGTAGTGGAGTATAGAAATGATCACGTTATGCAATTAAAACAGATAGTTGTTAGAACACCAAACATAGACGTCGTATCCGTGCAACTTTGTTCATACTTAACGATTTGTCTCTTACATTATGCTCTTTCTGCGTGTAGCAAGGTATCCGGTATTTTCGAGCAATGCTGACAAATGTATCAGATGTTACGGTAAAATGCTTCATTTGTTGTAAAATTATACGAATTGCATTCCAGACAGAGCTTACTTGCCAGAGGATACAGGAATTTGAAACTCAAGCCTCTTCAGACTTAGAACTACGTAATAATAAAATTGATGAGTTAAATAGGGTAAGTTCAATGGTGATTACGGCAGTTAGTTTATGCAAATCCTACCATTCTTACTTTAGATTGAATTACGTACAGCGCCTCATCTAAAGTCTATGATGTCAGCGAGCTTATGCCGTGTATCTTGACAACAGCAAATTAATCTAGACCCGTTCTTTGAACTTTACAGACAACGGACGAACTTAGGCATCAAATGGCTAATCAACAGAAAGTGATTGAGCAGCACAAATCACATATAAATAAGTGTATAGACGTTGTAAAGAAGTTATTAAAGGAAAAATCAAACATAGAAAAAAAGGAGGCTAGGCAGAAGTGTATGCAAAATAGACTGAGGTTGGGCCAGTTTGTGACGCAAAGGGTGGGTGCGACATTTCAAGAGAACTGGACTGACGGTTACGCATTTCATGAGCTTGCGCGACGGCAAGAGGAGATAGCGACGGAGCGGGAGGAGATCGACAAGCAGAAGAAGTTGCTGCTCAAGAAGAGGCCGTCGAATAGCGAGACTGGCAGGAAACGTAGTCAACCGCAACCCTCCTTGCACAACGGTACTGAGGCGACATTTTTGAAGCCAGATGCAGTACCTGGGTCGTATACGTGGCAGGAGTATTATGAAGCTGACGAAATACTCAAGGTAACGTTACGCGTTTTGTATTTTCCTTCGGTATCCAATTTTTCCCCATTCTCGAGAGCGACAATATGTATTTTCAGTTGAGGCAAAGCGCGTTGAAGAAAGAAGACGCGGACTTGCAACTAGAAATGGAAAAGCTCGAGAGGGAGCGGAATTTACACATTAGAGAGTTAAAGCGTATTCACAACGAGGACCAATCGAGATTTAACTCTCATCCTGTTCTGAATGAGCGTTACCTCTTATTAATGTTATTAGGAAAAGGCGGTTTCAGTGAAGTGCATAAGGTAAGAAAACATACAAGCTTCATGTATTGTTTTCGTTAACTCTATAAAAATGTACGTAAGCGCAAAAACATTTTATTTACTTGCTCTTATTTGTATCGCGTTGTTTCTCGTACAGGCATTTGACTTAAAAGAGCAACGGTACGTGGCTTGTAAGGTGCATCAATTAAATAAAGACTGGAAAGAAGACAAGAAGGCTAATTATATAAAGTAAGTTTCTTTAAGTTTTCACTTGTGTCGCGTTATTGACTTGTTGATTATAATGAATAATTAATGTAGAGACGCTTTAATAACACGTTCTTGTGTTTCTCTAGACGGATGTTCTTATTATGTGTTCTTTTTTGTTGTAATAGGCATGCATTGCGAGAATATAATATACATAAAGCACTGGATCATCCCCGAGTCGTAAAATTGTACGATGTATTTGAAATTGATGCTAATTCTTTTTGTACTGTTCTGGAATATTGTGATGGCCATGATTTAGATTTTTACCTCAAGCAGGTAAGCGTCTAAATGTCGTTTCACGCGAATCCCTTTAACAATAGCCGTGATGTTTTTGTTATTTCCAAACCATGTATTAAACTGTGTTATCTTATTGCAGCATAAGACTATACCTGAAAGAGAAGCGAGATCTATTGTTATGCAAGTCGTATCGGCATTAAAGTACCTCAATGAAATAAAACCTCCAGTCATACATTATGATCTGAAACCAGGTAAATTTTATGAATCTAATCGTTTATTGTCTAATGTAAGAATCATTACGGAGGAATTTTATGACGAGGAAGAGTAGTAACTTTGTGCACCAGCGAGTGTAATTTTATTGTATGATACTTTTTGCAGGTAATATCCTATTAACCGAAGGCAACGTGTGCGGCGAAATAAAAATCACGGACTTCGGCTTAAGTAAAGTCATGGATGAAGAAAATTATAATCCAGATCACGGAATGGATCTAACGTCCCAAGGAGCGGGTACTTATTGGTACGTGTCCCTTTCTTGAGTTACACATCGTCATGTTAATTATTAATTGTTAGTGGAGATTACAATTTAGTACTTTCGCACTTGTTATAGGTATCTACCTCCTGAATGCTTCGTCATTGGCAAAAATCCTCCTAAAATATCGTCTAAGGTTGACGTGTGGAGCGTAGGAGTTATATTTTATCAATGTCTATACGGTAAAAAGGTATTTGTCGCGATATATATCTTGTGAAATTTTATCGCGAGCATAGTCGAGACGTGCGCGTTAAAAAAAAATTATTTTTGCAGCCTTTCGGTCACAATCAATCGCAAGCCACCATTTTAGAGGAGAATACGATATTAAAAGCTACCGAAGTCCAGTTTGCAAATAAACCAACCGTTAGCAACGAAGCAAAGGTAACTCACCAGTGAGAAATAGATTAGAACCCGATGTTGAAAACCGATTTAGTGACACGACAATGTGCTGTTACAGAGTTTCATAAGAAGTTGCCTAGCGTATAGGAAGGAGGAGCGTATAGACGTACTGACACTAGCTAGACATGAATACCTACAACCCCCAGTGCCAAAACATGGCCGCCAAGCGAACAGCCAGCAACAGCAGCAGCAACAACAGATCCAGCAACAGCAGCAGAGCTCGTTTAATATCGGCATGTTTAGTGGTATGAACGCGTCGAGCAGTTCGTAGTGGAGAGGAAGGACTAAGGACAAAATCCTCGATATATACCAATACATGCCAAATCTTGAGCGCTCGGACTGTGTACACCATCTCATCTTAGGGAAATAATGATTGCTATAACCAATTGTAAATACTAAAACCGGATACTATCATCGTCACCACCCACCAACCACCATCACCACTACCACCATCACCTATCACCAACCACCACCACAATTATTACCACATTTACCACCGCCATCACCACACCATCACAACTATACTTACAGGATCGACTACATAGGACATTGCAAGAGAGATGCGAGACTGGTCACCCGCAAGTCCAGAAGCTTGCGTCTTTCTACAAGCCACGCCACATTATTCAGCATGACAAGAAACAATGTTGTGTTCGTAAATATTCAATTGTATTATCGTTCCTTGTATCAAACAGTGCGATGACTTGATAATAGTGTTTAAAAGAAAACGAGAGAGCGAGAGAGAACGAACGAACGAGTGAACGAGAAAATAACATGTGATAAGTCATTACGAGATAAAAGTGACGTCTAGAATAAGAGGGGAGGGGGGAAATAGGAGCATGTGTGAGAGAGAGAGAGAGAAAGAAAGAGAGCGTGAGAGTGACAAATAAAACAAAACAAAAATGAAAAATTTTTGGTGGAAGTCGATGAGATAAAAGAAAGCAACGAAGAATAGGAGAAAAAAGTAGGAAGGAGTCGAGAAAAGCAATCGGAGCAATCGCTTTCAACGGAGATGACGTTTCTCTCTCCTGGCGTTTTAGTGTGTATGAGCGAACGCTAGAGGATTGTTAAAATTAGTGTGAGTGTATATATTTATACTATATATATATATAAATACAAATATATATATATATATAAACTAATAAATTCGACATAATATATATATATATATATATATGGTGTAAAAAGGATGACTACAAGCATTGATAGTGGGAAGACAACTGTGGTGGCTCTATCCTCGCATGACCTCCGGCGCCGGTACCGGCATTCCATGAATGCTCGGCCTGTGCATCATGTTACTTTATTCGAATATTAACATTATTACTTGTATCATGACTAATAACGGTTAACATACACGCGCATCCATGCCCACATATGAAAACACGTACACCGACACGAGTACACGAAGGAGATTTGATTGGTTGTTCCTATTCTGAGACGAGAGTGGGCTTTATCTATAATGCCGGAATAATAGTCCGATAGAGAGCGAAGTGAGAAACGTAGAGAGAAAGAGTGTGAGTGTGAATGAGTGAGTGAGTGAGTGTGTGTGTGTGTGTTTGCGTGCGCGCGTGTGCGTGTGTGTCAATGCGTGAGGAGAGAGAGAGAGAGAAAGAGAGTCGCGATGTGCTCCCAAAGTGAAAAATAAAGCATTAGGATCGTAGTCCACCACTATCATCACCACCTGTAAAACCCGTTATCACGCGTGTATAGTTTAAAACCCCGAGATTCGTTATAACGAAGTCATGCATTACGTTTTTCCTCCTTCACTCTTCCTCCTTTTTTCTTCTCTCTCTCCTCTCCTTTCTTCTCCCCTTTTTCTCGAAAGTCTTATGGGGGGAGAGAAAAGAGAAAGAAAGAGAGCGTGGATCCAAATGTGTGTATAGAGCAAATTTCGCGCAAACGGTTTAGATTGTTCAATTAATAAATCAGGCGACAAGTGAGAAAAAATATGGCGAGGATTAGAAAGAACGAGCAAATCTTTTTAAGATAAGAGCCGATGAAACGCTATACCGACCCAATCATTATTTCTTTACTCGTAATTTGTTTTATATATGTACGTTATATATAGATAATTATGAAATAGAAAACTAAGTTATTTTATCAAGTGCCCTTGCTTTGTATTATAGTCGCGTTCGACGACGAGCCGTAGCTTCTGGGAGTAAAAGAAAGAGAGAAAGGGAGAATGGAGAGTTAGAGAGAATGCGTCAAGAGTGAACGAGAGACTAAAAAACGACCGAGTGCATGCGTTGTTAAAGTGTTGCGTCAGTTATTGATACAATGTGGGCACCGGGGTATTGATGACAATTCAATACCATCAATGTGATTGGCAGAAGTGTGGTGAGAGGAGAATACATTACAAGTCTGAACAGAGTCTACTACTTAGATCCGTCGCTTCAATTTTGAAAAAAAAAGAATATTAACCGCTCCCACATCCCGTATCCCACTTTTCGCGAAAGGAGATGCACACGGTCGAAAGTGCTCTTGGTTTTCTTTTTCCATTTTGTAAGGCGCGTATCGTGCTCGCTGATAATCTCGTTATGAGACCACGTGGCTTCTAAAATAAAATCATTCGCGTCGACACAGTTTTCCTATAAGATTGACGCGGATCTATGAAAATCTTTCGCCAATTCAATAAGAAAGGGGGAGGGGGATATTAAAGTGATCGATAAATGTAAAAATTGTTATTTGCATCATTTCCCCATTGTGTCATTTTTACGAATGAACCCTTCAGATTCAGTAGATTATCTTTAAAAGGTTTATTGCAGCCGGCCTTAAGAAAATTACCCGGAGGTGTAGTTCGATGAACGTTCACGCTTTCGAAATCTCGCGGTGAATGAAAACGAAATCTACGCGAGAACACATAGGATTCGTATATACTTTACAACAGGAAGTTACATTTGTACATATCTATAGAATTATCTGTGAGCGTAACAATAGGACGAGAACGGGAAGAGAGAAAGAGGCAAAAAAACTTTTTACTGATTTTTTTCACTGAGGATAGAGAGAAAAATACTTTCCGATCGGTTATAAGGTATTATCACCATAATCTACACACGATTAAATATCCGTAATATCAAATAGTTTTTTTTTCACTCGTGTCTGTGTGTCGACAGAGTCGATCTTCCTCGTGAGAAAAAAAAAGGAAAGAAACAGGAATTTCGTCGAGGACGGTGTATGAAAACGTTATAACAATAAATTTACGTATTTGTGTATAATTTAAAGTTAGTAAACTTATTAATTATATATAAATTACGCGCATTTCTCACGGTATGCATTTGCCCCCGCTGCTTCTCGTTTTGGCGAACGATGTTGAACAATGAATTGCCGAGTATCTAAAAAGTTAGAACATTTTATTTATATTTATATATATACGTATCTACTATGTGTGAATTATATAAAAATGAAAATCGCCGAAGATTATGACGTACTGATTAGGCTGAAAACGCGCGCGCTTGGACCGAGGGCTAGTCGATTGGTCTCCGTATCTGAGATAATCGTTCAAATTTAAAATCTTAAAAAAATTCAAACGATTCTCTTTGATCTTATCCTACGAGTGAACAAGTATGCATATACAAAACTGCTAGTATATAATTATAGTCGAATTCAATGAACACCAATACGCCTCGAAATTAATCGGTTTCTTCCATCTCACATATGTGGATATCGAAAATAAAATTACGAGAGAAGAGAGAAGAGGAGGAACACGTAAATTATGAGGGGGGGAACTGATCGGTTTTTGATTGATATTAACCTTCCACCTCGATCCTGGCTTATAATCGTGATTCTCTCGTAGCGAATTCGGTCGTTTGCACTTAGTGCGAACTGAATGCACGCCAAGACGATCCGTAAATATAAGAATTAACTGTAAACAAGCCTTAGTATGCACTCTGCGCGCACTAGTTCAAGTAACCGAATTCGTTATCAGTTATCCGGCCACGTCGAGTCTGACTCTCGCTCAGTATCTTCAGTTTTATAAATTTCTTTGTTATCTAAAACAAGAGCACGAAGTAAACTTACTTTATTCTACGTATCGTCAGTTTAAGGCAAAAAAAGTGAAACGTCCGACAATTTCGTTCAACCGATATTGAGCGTCGCATTAATTCTAAGCTCCGTTCTATGTATATATGTATAATAGTTACCGCTGTATAATTTCTTTAGTCTTTAGACAATTTGAAAAAAAATCCATATGACGTATGTAAAAATATATTTAAAAATTGTGTAATTTCATATTTTTCTTTCATTTTTTATAAAATATTCATTTTCCGGGATTAGAATTGTCTCTATCTCTTTTTCTCTCTGTCTCTCTTTTTTTCAAGTTTTAAAGAATCGTAGAAATAAAGTTTCAGCAGCGAGGAGAGTAATGTGATAACGATTGTGCGATAATTCGAGATCTGGAGATGTGTTCCTTCCGCGCGATATTAATTAATCTATCTAGCATAGGCGGCGCCAAATATTTTTTTGCCAGACAGGAGCGTGCCACATGTTCTTCTCAAGCTTTTGAAATCAAAAGTAAACGTTAATGTCTAAACAAATTAAAATTATATATTATTGATATCACAATATAACGCAATGTATAAAGAAATTTTCCGTTCTAAAAGAAATTTTTTCCGAGATCACGCGATAAAACTTGCATGAACATATTCGGTACATCCTGCAGCCCTGTCTACGGTGTCGTTAAATTTCACGAGATTGCACTCGTTCGCAACATTATTCGAGGAGCAAACTTATGTACAAACTTATTTGCGGAGCGTTTCAGGAAGAACGTGCCAGAGATCGAGCGACCGCATTGCTCAAGCAAATCTTGAAATGTTACTCAAGTAAAACAAAAATACAAATTTTTATTTCAAATTATTTCCACTTGCAAAATTATTCAAGGGACGCATTTCATATTCTGGCGGATTCTCTGTGACGAAACACCCTACATAATTATTACTAATGTCACGACCAACAATTGACGAGGACAAAATCTCCAAAATTCTCCAAATAAACTTGTGCAACATCTTTTCACAGTGCTTTCACTCTAAACTACTTCAGTTAATTTCGTCGTCCGTGGCATTTTTCAAGGTGAACGACGTTTAATCAGAGTCGCTGTCGTCTGATTTTAATGCGTAAGATACAGGCTTCCGAGCTCTACCGGCAGTCTTCCGGAGTGGCGGCGGCGAATCATCATCTCTCATCTCTTCATCAGATTCTGATTTCTTCTTTTTCTTCTTCGCCTATAAAAATAAAATAAAATTAGTGAGAAACTCACGAGAATGATTAAACACATGAAATATATTGACTCAAAAAATCGTACTTACGTGACTTTGTTTAGTGACAAATAGATCATCCGTATCAGAATCCTCGGATGATTTTGGTTTCTTTTTCTGTCTCTTTACTCCTTTGTTACCACCGTTTTCAGTCTTCTTCTTAGCAGGTGCTGTAAATGCAAGAGATAAGTAATGATAATGAAATAGTTTACACTTAGCCACATGACTCGATTAACGTCAATTACCCTTCTTAGGTGGCGTGAACTTCGCAGGTGAATCTTCCCCGGATGAAGATATTAGTGCAGATTTCTTCTCAGATGAAGATTGTTTATCAGGAGTATTGCCAACCAACGAATCGAAAAGTTCCTCCGAAGTCGCTGCAGAGATAAAAAAAATACCTGCAATATGCATAACCGCGTATTGTTTAACTTACATATATACTGTATGCCCTTACGTGTTGATTGAGGCAGTTTCTTGCTCGGTTTAATGTTGTCGTCGGAGTCACTTAGCACCATAATCGACTCTTTCTTCATGGTTCTAAACAGGATACGCGATGAGAAATTAATCTAAGCAAGTCAATGTGATGTACAGTATCGATATATTATACGTACGTTTGTTCTGAATCAGAAGAGGGACGACTGAACAGTTCGTTACTGTCATCCGAATCCTCACTGCTCATATTGTAATTCTTTTTTGCTATTATTTAAGAAGATTTAATAAATAGTATGAGCTAGATATCGAAAAATAAAACAATCTATTTTAATAATCTTGAAGGAAAATGAAGAGACTGATACCTGCGGCTCTACGAGATGCTCGTGGTTGCGGAGGTGGCAAAACGTTACCAAAATCGATGTCGTCGCTATCGTCCGAATCCTTCTCCTTCTTTTTCGCTCCTTTCTTAATTGGTTTAAATTGTAATGTTGTTTGCTTCAATCCTGTTTACATAAGCAGAAGAGTTCGTCGTTAAAATATCCTATATCTATAAAATGTATAATTTATGAATTCAAAATTACCAACCTTTCTTTGCAGTTACTTTTTTCTCTATCTTTTCTGGAGAATTTCCAAGTCTATGTTCGAGGGGTTTAGTATATGCGTCGACTAACGTATCAAACTCGTCTTTCTCCTCCAAGATTGGCTCTTTCTTCATCTGATACACAAATTTTCAACGACTTGAATAGCGACACAAATGTACAAATAAATTAGATAACGCATAGCTAACTTACTTTTGGCTTCTTTATGCCTTCTTTCTTATCCTTTGACACAATGTCAGCCTTCTCAATCTTTTTCTTCAATTCAACGTCGATGAAGGGAACTATGCGACGAGTATCGTCGTTCTTGTAGAATCTCGAAGGCGGTTTTTTCTCTTTTTGCTTCGCTTTGTTCTGGTCTTTCTTCTCTTTGTCTTCCAGCTACATGAACATCGTAAGCCAATTTAGAAATTATTAATATACGAACAGAATTAATTTTCTTTCGAAGCAGATCTTACTTTATTTAATTCGGCTAAAAGATTGTCCAGATCCTCCTTCCATAAAGAGATTGGCGTGCGACTTTGCAATCTCTTCAGCTCCGTTACCTTCTCGTCCCGTTGACGCAATAAATCATCCTTTTTTTCCTTCGTCAGGCTCCACATCGTCATTCCGAGAAGATAATCGAAATTCTCCTTTTCTATTGTTGACGCGGTTGGAGCGGCCTCTTCATCGTTTTCCACAGCCTCCTCCTATTTATTTACAACAACAAAAATTACTACACATATTTATCGACACAAAAAAAGAAACTTTCTACAAAAACAACCATGATCCAAAGTTCTATATTCAACAGAAAGTTATCTGCTCACTTTTGTTAAACAGTTTCTACTAATTGTAAGATTTATTCATTGGAAAATGGTTGTGTTTATTAAAAGACCTTTGTGATTTACAACGTTCACATTGTAAGTTTTACATACTGTTTCTTTTTATATTAACTTACTTGATCCTCCTGGGGCGTAGCAAAATTAATAAATTCTAATAAATAAAATTCTCTTGCGCTTGCATCGAATTTTTCAAAGAAAAGTCTACTTACCAGTACTTCCTCTCTGTTCTGGGATAATTTCCAAGTTACCACCGGATCAGAATCGTAACCGCGTCTGACTAATTCTGCTATCATGTCCTTCTTTTTTTTGTTTTCTACCACCAAAGTACCGTCGCATTTCTCAAGGATAAAACGCGCCTGATTGGACAGCTTCGCCGCTTCTGCTTGCAAAATTCCTTCTTGGTAATCCTTCCTCTGTATATATGCCTCCAATCGTACTTTATAAAATCCTTTCAATATTTGTATCGCATTGTCGTACTTGTTCAAGCATTGGTTTTCATCAAATGCACACTGCAAATAAGATATTAAGAAACGTCCAGTGTCATTTGCCATCTTAGTGCCATATCAATATTTCTAGTAACTTACCATAGATGTTATAGTCATCGTCGTCTGAATTTTGAATACTTTATGAAGACCTTCTCTTTCTAACTCCACTAATTTGTCTCGGTTCAATATTACTATGAAGTGTACCGCCGTATCTGTGTTATACTCTTTGTAATCCCTATGATAAAATGAATATTAAAAAAAAATCACCAAAATTACTTGTACATTTTTCCATCAATTGATCAATTGGAATGCTTACGTGATGATAGCTGGCACTTTATCAGTTCCATGTAACATAGGTTCCAGCACAGTTTCCTTATACGTTTGCGTCCACGTACCAATAGGAAGTTCAGTGATCTCGACCTTGTCAGGTCCAATCACCGATATCTCTCCGCTTATAACGTAACGATAATCCCCGCAGCTTTCCACGACGCCTTTGAAATTTTTATAGTACGGTATCTAAACAAAATTTGCAACCACATGAACGAAATATATAATTGTTAAATATATACTACATCCTTAAAGTTATGTATTTAACTTTCCAGATAATTTATCGATACACATACCATTGGTTTTGGGTCTGCGCCGTCCATCATCTTATGTAGATTCTCGATTATCTCTCGAGGATTGTAGTTCGGTATTTTTGTCATCCAGCCCGTACCAATTCCGTCGGCACCGTTCACTAGTACCATAGGAATCACAGGCATGTAAAAGACAGGTTCGATCTTTTGATTGTCGTCGTACTCGTGTTTCAGCAGGGGATCGTCATGTTTGTGAAATATAAACCTCGCCAGAGGACTGTGGAAACGAAACAGAGAACATGCAGAGATATGTACAACATCTTCTTTTGCAGATATCATAATAATAGCAAGTACCTGAGAATTGTGAAAATGTATCTCGGACTGGCAGCATCCTTTCCGCCAGTAAGTCTTGTACCGAACTGACCGTTAGGCTGCAATAGATTAATGTTGTTGCTGCCCACGAAATTCTGTGCGAGATTAATAATCGTCGCCATCAGGGACGTTTCACCATGATGGTAAGCTGAATGTTCGGCGACCGATCCCGCCAATTGCGCGACTTTCACTTCACGTTTATCATTACGTTTCAAACATGTGAACATTACTTTCCTCTGACCCGGCTTAAAGCCGTCCATCATGTTCGGGATGGATCTCACGTTATCATAATTGCTGTACAGCACCAGTTCGACGTTGATGAAATCTGAGAAAGTGACGGTGCGCGTGTCTTTCTCATAGAGATAACGTTCGCCGAGGCCGATCTCTTTTCGCCTCTTTGTTTCGTTCATATGATTCATCAGCCAATCTTTACGCTGATCGACGCATTTCTTACTAAATGCCATAATGATGTTCTCGTCATCCTGCTCGCCATTGTATTGAAAGCGTATTCTGTGTCTGGCCATATTTTCGAAGTACTCCTTTGCCTCTTTGGCAGTGGAAGTACCCAAACCTATATAAGTGAGAGAAAGAACGTTTTGTTAAATGAGTCTTGTATAAATGTTGAAAATGAAATGATAAAAAATACAAGCTTTTAAATAAATACCTTTGTAGTATTTGATCTTGTACGTGTGAAAGTTTTCTGTATCTTTCTTCCACATCTCAAATTCCGGCAGGGAAAAGAAAGACAAGACTTGACTGCCTTTACTAGCCTTCACGATAGGTGTAATAAATTCTTCAACGAAGTTCAATCTTAACAACGAGGGCCAGTTATGGTGGATAAAATTGATCAATAGACCTTTGATATGTGAACCGTCCTAAACCAATCCAAATTCAATTAAATATTTATAATGGACAAAAAGTGTACGTGCGCGCGCGCACTATTGTTTGTGCAAAAATTTACCTGATCCTGATCAGTCATGATCATCATTTTTCCATAACGCAACGTCTTCAAATCGTCTCGCGTTTCATATTTCTTTTTGTATTGAAGACCAAGGATTTTTATCAAATTGTTAATTTCGGCGTTCTCCAAGATCTGCTTATGGGTAGCCTCTCGTACATTTAACATCTTACCTACAACCAAATGCTTTATTAGTCCGATCGTGACGTTAAAATCCATCCATTATTTTCAGTAAATCAAATTTACCTCTCAATGGAAATATGCCATATTTATCTCTGCCTATGGAAGCGATACCAGACACAGCCATTGTTTTAGCTGAGTCTCCCTCAGTCAGTATGAGTGTACATTCCAATGATTTTGCCGTTCCTGCGTCATTGGCGTCCTCTAACTTGGGTATACCATGAAGTTTCCTTTGCTTCGATTTGGGTCCCAATTTCTCAAGCTGACTGTCAGCTTTAAACTTCGCCCAGGTCAACACCGCTTCCACAACACCGATTTTCGCGATCTGCAATCGCATTGAAAAGAATGGTCAAATGAATGATAGATGGATGAACCTTTGATATCAATATCTGTACTTACTGAGGTAATAAACTTATCAGTTAGTGCGCATTTAGAGCCGAAGCTTTTCGGCTGTAGAGTCATGTTCTCCTTGGTTTGCGAGTCAAAGGTGGGATTATTGATAAGACAGTTAATGAAGATCCACAAATGATTCTTGATTTGAAACGGCTTAATGGTCACGCCAGCTTTATTCTTCTTCTTTAGCGTTTCAATCAGTTGTTTGACTATCATCTCTGTCACATGATCAACATGTCTACCGCCCTATCGATATTCGGCGAGTTTAAGTATTTCAAGTAACATCATACCACATGGAAAATTACCGCGCGCCTTACCTTTGTTGTCGCGATACTATTTACAAAGGACATTTGTTGAAATCCTTTATCAGACAAAGTGAGAGCGATTTCCCAGCGTGGGCCACAATTCTCGTATACGATTTTTAGTGGATTGCCGACGTCGTCTTCTTTCCCTTTGATATAAAAATCAACATACTCTTTAAAATTCTTTACTGGTACGCGAGTTCCATTTAAAAAAACTTTGACGCCTTTCGAAGAAGCAGCCACGTCGTATGCTCTTCGAGACATTAACGAGACAATATCGTTATCGAGAGATTGCATCTTGAACTTTGACAAATCCGGTGAGAACGTAACCTTGGTGAAGTCCTCTCCAAAATATTCTTTAATTCTAGGCTCGCTAGATTTGCCCATATTGTCACCCCACGTCTATAAAAGAGGGAAAAATTACGTACTCATGTATTTACTAATGGAACCAAGGGTTAGAATATCAATATAACGTTTGTTCTTACTTGTTTTAAGCATTTTTTGTATTCCTTTGTTGCAGTCTCGACAGTGAAGCGATGGCTGAAAATGTTGCACAACTTGGCGCCGTAGCCGTTTCTGCCGCCGGTCACCTTCTCTTCTTCGTCATCGTAATTTGACGATGTTAAAAGGTGCCCAAATATCATAGTGGGTACATACATTTTTTCCTCCTTGTGCACCACAACAGGGATGCCTTTACCATTGTTCCATACGGAAATGGTATTGTTTTCTCTGCAATGGTACAATATTGAATCGATACATTACAACTTACGTCAGGGATTTTCGAAAGTGTTGAAACGCGTTTCTTAAGACGACTCACGAGTCGATATCAATCTTGATCATGTCCATCTTGGGGTCGCGTTGCTTGTTGTCGGCAGCGTTTACCAAGATCTCGTCGAAAATCTTATACAACCCAGGTACATATTTTATATCCTTCTGCACCATCATGTCTTTTTCCTTATCGAAGACCCACATCATCTCCGTCACCGGCTCCACAGACCCGATGTAGGTGTCGGGACGCAGCAAAATGTGTTCCAGCTGCGACTTCTTCTGGTAGATACCCTCGATGGTTTTCTGCTTGGCGGCCGACTTACCGTCGCCAGCTCCATTTTCCACGGCTGCACTCATCTTGACACGTTGTACTTGCAGATATCTGCGTAGAAAAATCCATACAAACTTCTACTACGGGGGAAACTGGGCTGCGAGATGCGCCATAAATTTTGCGCGAGAAACAGCAACTATGCGACTGTCTCGAGATTCACACAAGGAATAAGTTAAGACTGTTGGAAAGAAACACGCAGTTGATTTACTATGAGACAAGTACGCCGAGAACCGTTTGCCTCCCTGAGAGGCTCGTAACTGCTGCACGATTTAAAAACAACAAATAGAAGAAAAACGCTGACACCGCGCTTTTCTTCCGTTTGTTTGATTCATAAATACAGAGGCGAGCGGCGACGTGACGTTTGTGTTACGAGACAGCGCGGAAAAGCGACTCTCGATCATATGGGCGAACGATATTTGGGATATTTTTGAATTTATCGAGACACACAACGGGCCCATATTCCGGATGCTCTTTTATCGATAGAATATCTTTTCGGCCAATGCTTCAAAGCCAATTTTCGTGGCACTTTTATCGATAAAAGACGGATTACAGAATACGGACCACAGTTCTACTTTCGCGAAACCGCTCTCGGGCGAATCAATTTAACGGTCGCCGATTCAGTTCGAAACTGCGAAAGACACTTCAATTCGAGCTTCGAACTAAACGAAGACGTCCAGCCCCGCTTTCTCTCCTCCCGAGTCTACTCCTCGAGCGTGAACACGCGAGAAGTGAAAAGCTTCACTGACGAATTCAGTACACGGGTCCGCGCCCGAGGAGAAGACTCGTGATCGAAGCCCTGGGATGAAAACCATTACCGTAGGTGCAGGCGTCCACGTTGCGAAGAGCTTTGAAAAATATGGCGGGAAAGAGCAGTCATCTAATCGGCGCGGTTTCGAGCGGCCGTTTGTTTCGGGACGGGGACACCTGTCCACCAACGCACCCTCCCCCGCCCCCGTGACGCGCGACGAGCCGTCGCGGACTGCGGGGTCCGCGAGCTGGCGAGTTCGGCGCGGGCGAGCGGGCGGCGTGCGTTACGTACCTTCAGTGATCGCGCCTCGGCGTCGAGTGCGTCGCTCGCTGCTTGGCGTCGGTCGTCTCTAGGATCGCAGGACCTTCATTCGCGGCGCCGTAAACGCTAATTATTGGCATATCACAGGCGCGCGGGGCGGCCGTCTGGCTGGACGAGCGTCGGCGGTGTTCGGATCGTGCCGACCGATTCACTCGCTCGCGCCGGCTACCATCGGCCACGTAAGAAACGAGGGTGCACGCCAACCAACACCACACTATGCACCTTCGCGTTTACACCGCGTCGTTTACACGCTCCGCCGCTCACTTCGCTACTCGGCCGAAGTCGTCCAAGCTCGGCTTGCTCCCGAGGCCTCGGAGCTGCCAATCCCGCCGCGCCGTAACCTTCTGCCCGCTCCACATCCACTCGGGGCTCGCGACCGCGGCGTCGCGTGTCCCAACATGCTCCTGCTTGCCCCAACGACCAATGCCGTTGCTTAAAACATCGAACACGTCCCTGGGTGCTTACGCGCTACTGAAAATACCCGATTCAAACCGATAGATATCGCATTGATTTCTATAAAAATTAATCGGTTTCAATTCGATATCGATCGGGTTCAAGGATTGGTGGAAGTGCAAGATCAATCGGATTCAATCCGGTATCTCCAGATAGAATTGAAGCAGTAACAATCGGTTTCTATCGGCAGACTATCGGATTTTCTGACGAAGTCTGTCTCAATCGTTTTTAATACAACTTTTCCGGATTGACTGGCCCTGTGCCTTCATGAGCCGCTACTACTCACGCGTCGTTTTGTCCTCTTCTACGTTTGGGAACACGGTTTTGGTTTGACGCACCGTCCAGTACTATATGTCGATGGAAAAAGCTGAGACGGTCTTAACTTTTTTCCCTCCACTACATTTTCTTGACGTAATGCCGAAAACGGCTAATAATGGTCAAACAGGAGCCTGTGACGCGAACTCTAAAGGCCTTCACACATAAAATTCCGTAAGGACGTAAAACGTAAGCATAAGAAAATCGACCAATCACAGTCGAGAACGTAAGGCAATAACGCAAGCAGTAGCAAATCCAATCAGTTGATTTTCTTACGCTTACGTTTTACGTCCTTACGGAATTTTATGTGTGAACCCTAAAATCCGCCGACGTAACAAATTTCTGGAATTTCTAGAGACTTTTATCGGAGAAATCAGACGTGCCTCCGGCGAGCAGCCAATCGACTTAACGATTAATTTCAAATATACTTGTCGATTAGCTCGATGGCGAAATATTCCAAGATTTTATCTTCTACAAAAGATTTCTGGCCGTAAGTGTTCTTGAGAAAAACAAGGATATATTCAAAGAACTAAATAATCAATTTCTGAATTTAATTGCTTACTCATAAAATTCACTTTTGTTTTTTCTACATGTCAAGTGGCGAGCGTGGCACAGAGAAGCGCACAGTTCAAACAAGTAAACAAAAAATCAGAGTCCAACCAAGAATATCGCTGATTTTTATTCGAACGCTCTCGGAAAATCGCATCCGCCGAGAGTATCCTGTCACATAATAATTTGGAACTCGGGCCTTGAAAGTTGGATAGTAGGTTAAAAACATACTCCCAGAAAAACAAATTCCATCTCGGAACTTTTAAAGTTCACAGATTGTTAGAGATAAAAAAAAATAGAAGCCCGAATCCTATCTAGACTATAGTGCCATTAGATAAACGTCAAGTAAAAAAATTAATAATTCAATCCATGTTAATAGAAAAACGTATATACAGACATTATTCGACAAGTTAATCGCTAATGAAGTTGTTTCTCATGGGAGCTTTATCCGATCTCTAGATACAAGGGAACAAGGTAGTAGGTATATTGATAGGAATAATTCTGGATGCGCGGAATAATTCTGATCTCCTCAATAACGACACATTTTTCTGACGAGGCACGTGTTGTCGTGCTTACATTGTATCTTTATACAACTATTCTTATTCCATTATCTATCATACGGCGTTACTTGGTTTCTTTTTGCAAGATTGTTATACTGTTGGATACTTCAGTTTTGTTCGGTATTACATTCAAAAAAATGTCGGTAGTTTTATATGCTTGCTTTTCTACCGTGAATGCATACTATTAAAAAGGAGAGAAACGACATAAGCTCGCACTACAAACGGCAGAAAGGAAAGCATATAGACACGGAATAATAAGTCGGAGTTAAATACAAAATGAAATCACTACTGCTCTCCGTCTTGTGGTTTTTGGTGATTGATTTCGTAGCAGCAGCTGTCCACAATGTTGAAAAATTGTCGAAATTCTTGCTAGGAGGGGCGCGGCTTAATGGAATGATGATTGGACGAATGAAGAGATCGGTAGAAGTGAGGAAGAGTACCTGTGAAAAAGAATTAACTACACTACATTGTATATGTGTACCGTGTATTTGTAGTTACAAATGATATTGTAAAACATGTTCATCGATGGTTGTCACGAGATTGAATTAACAAAAAGAAAAAAACTAGCACACTCGATTTAAATTAACGTTGCGTTTGCACAAAATAGAACATAATGATAATATTAACGGACAAAACGACATTGAGAGAGATTGCCGCTATGATTTCTTAAAGCGATGACGCGAAAAACAGCAAGTTCCAATTGTGCGGCAACTCACCAGCGGTTACAACGCGATTGCACTGCTTTCGCGAGTGAGGATTTTCGTTAGTACGGCTGGTGCCTCTGATTTTGGCGACCACCACCACCTCCTCCTCCTCTTTGCTTGCCGCCATAGCCTGAGCCACCTGGAACAACGTCGACACTGCACCGTTAGTTTATTCACCTTTACAATGCTATTCTATAGCTACAATATGATTATAATTATACAAGTTAATAATGTAGAACAGCTCGATTCTTACGATGTAATGCACGCACATCTCGGTAAGAATACACTATGCTACTTACAACAAACAAGTACTACGAAAGAAGATATTACTACTGATAACAAATGTAAGAACAAAGAGGCTACAGGCTAAGGTAGTAAGCTGCATACTTTTCGGATTCCCTCCTTTTGATACGCATGTCTCTGGGATTCTGCTAATTCCTCCCTCGGTATCTTTTGTTATTACAACAATAATTAAGCCACATGAACTTGTAAGCAAAAATGACTGAAGCAAGACAAATTAAATAAAATTTGCTCTTCTTGGATGAGTACTTTGACGCTTCTACAGACCACATTAATCGCGATTTATATTGAGATTACATTTATTACGACTGTAAGTCGGGAGTTAAGTTGCTCTCGTTGCAATCAAAGGGTTATAAGGATGGGTGCAATACTAGCGGTGGCAAAGCTAAATGTAAAAGAGAGAAAGAGAGAGCAAAATACAAAATGATGGGTAGTAAAGTATATCAAGGAACGCTGTAATGCGTACCTTTACCGCGTACACCACCACGCCCGCCCGCGTAGCCACCTTCGTAATTACCACCGCCATAGCCATAGCCATCTGCGTTTCATGAAACACATGGTACAATGGAGTCAGTATCCGCACGTACCATCGAGATTTCAATGCGTTGCAAGAAGTAGAAAAAAAAAACATCGTGCAAGGAGAGACCGATTCGAAGAACGAAAATTCTAGCCCCGAGAAAAACGATGCAAAGATACTCTCCGAAGATCGCCAGGATACTGACTATTTCTCGTGACAAGAAAGTACCTCACCCCGGGACATTTCTTAAGTTCAAATTCAATTTACTATCATCCGCTGTATGACAAAGAATAAAAGATAATCACCACCGTATCCGCTGTAATCATAACCACCGTAACCGCCGTAACCGCCGCCGTAGTAATCGTATCCCCCGTAACCGTCGTACCCACCGCCGTAGCCGCCTTGGCCGTAGCCACCGCCATAACCGCCTCCGTAGCCCTGTCCCCAACCGCCTTGGCCTCCGAATCCACGACCTCGGCCGCCACGAGCTCCTCTACCACCTCGGCCCATCATCCCTCCGCGCATCCCACCCATGCCATCCAACTTGGGAGTCGCTTTTTTTACATCTACCTGTTAAACGAGAGGTCGAAAATAATAAGAAATTAACAAGATTGCTCATTTGTTGATTTATAAATTGTAGAAGATTGATTTAATTTCTTCTCGTTGCTAGATAAAGGACCGGCAAAACTTACGGCTTTTCCATTGATGGTCTGTTTGGGTGTCTTGAGTAGTTCATTGACCACTTGTTCAGATTCAAACGTAATAAAGCAGAAACCTTTCCTCTGGTTCTTTGTCTTGTCAAACGGCATCTCTACTTCGACAATCTGGAAGAGAAAGAATGATTATTTTTTGATATTTATTTGCTTGTTCCTTCTCTATTTCGTTTCTAAGTAAAAGTATTTACATTTCCAAATTGTGAGAAGAAATTCTTGATATCGTCATCGGATAGCTCTGTTGAGAGACCACCAACAAAGATCTTTCCATGCCTAGCTTTCGCCTTCTTAGGATCGACTTTTTTGTTGTTGATGACATGATCCCCAGCTGACATAATCTGCAAGAAATTATTAAATTCGTTTCGGGAACAATAAACTACGCATACATTATTTGTGATACGTGAAATTTGTCATTTTCATCACTACCGATTAAGAAATAAATTACCTTATCGAGAGCTTCGGCCTTGGCGAAGACAATAAAGGCAAAACCTCTCGATCTTCCCGTGTTGGGATCTGTTTTGACATTAATACTCTCGATGTCGCCGTATGTGCTAAAATGTTCCCTTAATTCCTCTGAAAACAAATCGGAAATGAAAGATCCATGACGGGTGGCCGAATAAAACGCAGCTCTCGTCGACGACCGATGCAAATTATTAAGAGTGAGAATACTCACTGTCAGTAGTTTCCCAGCTCAAGCCACCGACAAACAATTTCCTGTAAACAATAAACAGAAATAAAAATTTTAAGTAAATGTAATGGAGGATAACGTGCTTGCCGCCCTAACTTTCCAACCGCTGTCGCGGTGCTACGATAATTGCGGTAGTATTATTTCAATTGAATTTTTATAGGCACACAATGTTTAAAGATAAACGAAAGAGAGAAATAGAAATTGAATGTGCCTATCAATCATAGAGTCCTGATTACTTCCGGTCAACCTGCAAAGCAATGGAACTAATTTATTTTACCAAAAAGAAAGAACAGAGATTTTGTTTACAGATATTAAATTAATTGCCTCTACGAATTTAATGTCGACTTAAAATGTCGTCCCTGTGCAAATTAAGGCCATACTACAATTTAACAGAGTGCAATTGATGATCCATGATGCTATCTGGAAAAGGCACTGCAAAAAATTTTATACAAGCACGACATTTCCAATTGCAGCAACACACAACGTAGGTGTTGTCCTACATGTAGATTTGGAAAAATAAACACGTTCCTTGCGCGTGTGAGACTGAACAAGATTGCTATACCGACAACAAGAGGTGAAGTTACAAGATACCATATCCCTAGAACAAATGAACTTTTCACATCAAGTTAAGTGTTATGTTATTATTATACAAATTATATATCGCAGTGGCTACGCGGTAGCGTAGTGAAATTCAAGTTACGGAGAGATGGCGGCTTTGCACACCACACAGGTCAACTCGATTTGAACAGCATATATAACAAGTTTCGTGAAAAACATCAAAGGAAAAGTTTTAGAAAAAAAAAAGTACATATGCATAAGTGTATGTGTGTATATATAAATATGTGTGTATGTAGTAGAAAAAAACGCATCAAAGAAAGCAAAGTACTGTTACAACGATGATCCAAATAAGCTACACACAACTCCAGCTGAGATACGGCTGCTCCTAAAGAAAATACAAACAACTTTTCTAAAGTTACAAATCCCGATTATTAATTGGCCCAAATTAGTGGCATGTGGTAGATCGACTGCAACTCTATATTGGAAAGCTAAAAATTAATTTCCACATTACAACAGATTAACATTGGTCACTGCACCGATTTTGTTCCGTTTCTTATCTCTCTCATTCTTTGCTTTTCTTTCGTTTTATTTGACTTATTTTCAAACAACATTGTTGTGCATTACATCAGACACTCGTACGCATACATATATAGATATTTTTATCTTACAGTTTCGTCAAGAAGGCTTACATTAGACACGACTTGTCTCGAGATGCACTTTTCGTACTTTTGTTCATATTCAAATAACAAGCTGCAATATGTACACACTTTGCTGTTTTTCTATCTTTTCCTTAACTTTGTTTGTTTTTCCGGCGACGTTAAGTCTGTACTTATATACGTTTATCGATATATATGTCGTTTTCATATCATCTATTGCTGATGATAAATACCATGGGTACCAGTCTCTCGCCGGTATCTGTTGTCAGGTCAGGTCACAGTTAGCCGGTTGCAAGCAGCCCGCCATAATCGCACTGGGACGTTTGCCACCTGCAGACCAAGTCACAGAAACTGCGTTAATGGCGTTCCGGAGCCTACTGGAGATGTTTGCATTTGGCCCTAGTGTCTCTGTGCATTTGTTCATGCCCAAATAATCCAAATCACACTCGAATCAGCGGAAATTACTCTACTCTGTATTATCCAGCAGGCAAGCGCGTGTCGCTGCGACACACGTATTTGATCTCAAGTAACATTTAACTCGACTTGATTCCAGGCACTTTTCGTGTTGTGACGCAACATGATGGACTTGAGAACTCGATGCTCGATCGTTCACATTAATTCTGACCCCGAAGCACATTCACGAAGTCTCACAGTTCATTCAGTGATCCCAGACAAGCGTATTGGACGGTATTTGTCAATCGTTTCGGGCAATTGACTAAATCTGAATTTGACCGTAAATTGTACTGTGAATGTAAGGAAAGATGACTCGTAACTGATCAAACGTGTGGATTTCAAAATTATATTCTATAAAAAAAAATAGAAATACAATACAAATGTTATTCTTACAGAATATATATAAGTAGATCTACAATATACATACAAACTTTATCAATGATGGAACTGCCCTCCATTAATTATAGGACTAGAAGAGAGTTAAACGGCTGAGTGAGAACAGAAAGAAGAAATTTACAAAAAAAGTTAGAGAAAGCTTGGAAAAAAAAACCAGATGGACACATACCTCATAATAATAACAACACATGTGTAATTGTAATCACAGCATAGTAATGAGTATAATTATATATTTACCTTATTTTATTTCGTACAAATATGAGAAAGTTGAAATAGATTTTACGAGTGCATTGGTAATCGGTAGGACGTAGTAAAATTGTACAATTCACATTTGGTTACATATCTCTGCGTATAAGATGTTCTAACTCGTAAACATTCGTGCGATTAATAAGACACCGAAGCTGCAAAGTGACGTCAGGATTTGTCGTGCCCGCGCGCTCCAACCACGGCGAACGTGAACGGACGACGTTGTCGCGGAGGGGCCTGGGGGGGGAGGGGGCGGGGGACGGGGGTGAGGGGGGACGGGGCGGAGGAGGGAACAAAGCGGCAAAAAATCGAACGCGAGCGCGAGGAACGGCGTACGTCGCGGGGCGGATACGCGCGCGGGGGCGAGCCCCTTCGCCGCTTCCACGCGCGGCGTGAAAGGAGGCGAGAGAAAAAAAGCGGATCGCGCGTCCGAGCTACGACAACAATAACGTAACTCCGCGTATTCGGGGCAGCGGGAGGAAAAAGAAACGCGCCGGCGGGCGCGTCGCGGCCGAACGGCGCGGAATGGTCGCGCGGGCGGACGATCGGCGGCCGGTGCGCGGCCGATGCGCACGGATTACGGTCTCGCTCGAATTGGTCCATCGCCATCTTGTCCGAAGCCCGTGTTGGACCCGCGAGGGACGCCGACCGATTTCGCGGGAAAACGCCTTCGGTGGGATGCGGTCCCGCGCGTAATTAACGCCGTTCCCGGGCCGCGAGGAACGGCGGGCGCCGCGGACCGCGTCCGATCCGCGGCGGCGTGGCCGCGCCGTGGCTGCCGAGGGCCGGGTAGACGGACGAAGAGAGTCTTACCTGTCCTCCTGCGAGTCCTGGCCATTCTCCACGGCGTCTCCGCCACCGCCGCCGGCACCGCCGCTCTCGGCCTCGCCGTTCTTCTCGAAATTTTGCTCCGCCACGTCCTCACTGAAGTCCTTGTTCTCTTGCAGATCAGCCATTGTTTACAGCCGCGTTTTACGCACTCGTCGCGTTAACGATACGAGGGAAGATCGGGAAGATAGAAAATAATCACAATCGCACTTATATCGGTGGACGACTGCGGCGGAGAGACGGATCCACGGCAAAGAGGGAGAGACGACGAGTGGAATACCCGAGTCGGTTCTGGGAACGCCGGACCGACCTGCTCTCTGCCGGCGGAAACGCGGAAACCGCGTAGACCGTGGAACGCGCCTCCTCACCGCCGCCAATCAGAACACGCTCGACTTTCGCGCGCTCGACCAATCGGGATAAAACGAGCGGGCGGATTTCTTCGGAGGGGTGGGTCCATTTCATTGGTTGCGCTCAAGCGAGGAGCACACACTTGGGCCATCGCACACAAAATTGCATAGCATAAGAACCGTCTAAAAACCAACGAGCATCGAACATTGGCTACGTTCGGCAGAAAAAGCTGCTTTGCAACTGTTGTAAAATTCATGCATCTGATTGGCGTATGCTCTTAAATTCACACAAGATTGAGAGAGCACACCAATCAGATTCACGAATTTTACAACAGTTGCAAAGCAGCTTTTCCTGCCGAACGCAGCCATTGAATCGTCATATTGATTTACATACATGCTCATTGGTCCAGATGGTCTTATGCTATGCATATGCACCTATGCAATTTTGTGTGCGATGGCCCATAGCCCTTTTGCATAAGTGCATAAGCATATGCATAACGAATTTGATTGGTCAAAACAACACTTAAGATTATATTAAAATAAGAATAGACTATGAATACCACTGTACCAGTCATAATTCGATAAAAGCAAATCCATTCCGCGAGGGGTCGCTAAGTCCCAGTCTACAATAGAGATTTAAGCCCTAAGCCTTAAGAAATTAACTAATCACAGTCGCGCATTCTACTCATACTTGACCGTGATTGGCACTAACGTGCTCCAGTTGACTTACCATCTATTGGCCGCGTTCAGCAGGCACAACTGTTGAGTGAGCGCTCAGTATGATTGGTTAATACTTTTAGATCCAGCCAATCATATTAAGAAATCGTTGAGCGCTCACTCAACAGTTGTGTCTGCTGAACGCGGCCATTGTAATCCCGACTTAAAGGCCATTCTACAATTGCGTAAACGTGGTTGTTAGCGGTTGTACAGTGTTGTAAAACAGTTTTAAACTAGCATTTCCGATTGTAAAGCCTGTTGTAAAAGATGGCTGAACTTTATCTTTCACGACTACAACGATATAGAACGTAATGGCTAACCAATCAGAATTCTGTCACGTGTCCATACCCCTCTCATCAAACGCTAAACTGTACTCTGATTCGTTATCATTCACTTCAATTACGACGTATCTTACTCTATTATATATTACTTTGATGTACAACACTTACTACTACTTCTACTCCTACAACTACGTTTACGCAATTGTAGAATAGCCTTTACGCACATTTTTACTTTTGGAACTATTTCATTACGCATTTTCGGACTCTGCCGATAAAATTTCCACTTGGTGAATTTATAAAATTTACATTGTCTACATGAGAAAAGTTGATGTAAATATCATGCAGATAATTTATGTTAATGTAATTTTGAATTTCACAGCACAATGAAAAACACACTGAAAAACAGGCGTTGCATGAACACGCATAAAGTGGTGACTTTATCGGCAGTGTCAGAATTAGATGCATAGCAAAATAGTTCCAAAAGTAAAAATGGGCGTAAAGGCGCGCAAAACGGTATCAAGTAAAACGCCGGCGTGGCCGCTCTCAGGTTTCTCTCTGGTAACCGGTGTAACCACATGTTGTCTGATTGAGGTTACCTGATTATAGCGAATGAACGTGGATCTCGTGTAAATATTCGTTCAGCAAGAAACACAGTGATATCTCCGTCAACAATTGTTATAAGTATTTATACTTTGCAATCATGACGAAAGTTAAACGAGCTAACAATAATGAATGGAAGCCTGTAACATTGGAAGGCACCTTATTGTCCAACGGTATAGAGGGATTAATTGGAATAGAGGAGCTGACGGATTATAACTTGGAGCGCAGCAGCAAAAGGGGCAAAGTCGTGACCACAAAAGTGAAATCTACTGAGAAAAAGCAAGTAAGTAACGTAAGTGAGTTACTTTTTAACATCTTCAAATTTTCTTAACAATGATATCTTCCATTATAGTCGGCGTCAAAGCGCAGATGCCCGGAAGAACAGAAAGAAACTAACAGTACTGAGCCTGCTGTGAAGAAATCGAAGACTAAGAAAGAAGCAGAAGTTAAAAGAAGAAAGGACGGGAAGACTGCAAAGTCAGCGGACCTCACAGTCGCTGATCGACAAGTTAATTCCGACAGCGACGATGATTTATACTGTGACACAGACAGCAAGGAAAGTTTGGCCAAAATTAATGTTGAAGCATGGAGGTGCATGGATGTGCCTGCTGCTGTAATAAGAGCTCTGGCCGATCAGAATTTTCATTCTCCTACTATGATACAAGCGAGGACATTGCCAGCTGCCATATTGGGCCGCAGGGATATATTGGGTGCTGCTGAAACTGGTAGCGGCAAAACGTTAGCATTTGGTATTCCGATTATAAAGGGTATCTTGGATTTAAAGAGCCAGAACAAAGGACAGGTTTTGCCCGAGAAAAAAGCTGAAGGTAGTACAGTAGCTTTTCTCTCTATTTGAATTTTTACTTCTTTATAAAATCAGGTTGTAGCCCTAAAAATACAATCATTCTTTTGAATTTAGTCCTCAAACTTTTGATATAGCCTGACTCCTGTAGTTTCCTAAGTAGGGCCTATAGCGAATCCCATGTTTGTGGGATAACAAAAATAATACTTCTCAAAGATATTAGCACATTAATATTTTAAACATTTAAAAATAAATAATTTTCTTTTACATAAAAGTGGAATGCTAATAATTTTCTTGTACTTGTAATTAAACAAAAAAACACTAAAGGACCAATTTTGAGTCGCGCAATTCGAAGAACTTGCATACTTATTGCATTTTTAACTAAGGCAACTAGTGGGCTTACTTATCTAAATATGAGATAAATCATTTTAAATTTTACTGACGGTAGAATATCTTAAATTTGGTATGAGATAAATTATGTAAATATCTTCAAACGCAATATAATTTTACTTTCTCACCGTTATCTAGCAATAGAATTACTAATTCCTGTTATTAAAGAAATAGCAAACATAATTACGATATTAGATAAAGGTTAAACATATTACAAATAATAATTTTTCAGAATCTGGTTCAGAAGATGAAGACTTATCGGAGTTTGAGAATTGCGTGAGTGTTGTGAATGATGTAAAGCTTGATGATTGTCACAATATTCCAACCAAGGCGCCGCTCTATGCTTTAATCCTGACGCCAACTCGTGAATTAGCAGTTCAAATAAAAAGCCATCTTACTCAGGCAGCGAAATATACAGATATTAAGGTACGATTATCTCTTTTAAACTTCAAACTTCTATACTTTATGCATAATTCTAATTGTTATTATATAGATAGCTGTTGTCCTTGGAGGCATGGCAGCAGTGAAACAAGAAAGGATATTAAGCAAGGGTCCCGAAATTGTCATTGCTACACCTGGAAGACTGTGGGAATTGGTTCAAGCAGGCAACCCCCATCTCAGTCAAATAGATTCTATCAGGTAATTTATTTGGGATCTAATGAGAAGTGATTCCAAGACGTACTTACTATAGAGAATGTGTTATATTATTTAGATATCTAGCTATTGATGAGACTGATCGAATGATGGAAAAAGGTCATTTTCAAGAATTGCACGATTTGTTGGAGAAAATTAATGCAAATCCGGCAAAGCTGCAGAAACGACAGATATTCGTTTTCTCGGCTACTTTAACTATGGTGCACGACCTCCCGGATTATCTTGATAGAAAGAAGAAGCGATATGCTAGGAGTAAAATATGTAAACTCACTTCTGATCAGAAATTGCAAAAAATCATACAGTTGTTAAAAATAAAGAATCCTAAAGTCGTTGATCTTACAAAGGAGTCAGGTATAGATTTTAATCATCTACCACTAATAGAAGTTATGTCTGTACTCGCTATTATTTAATCGAATCTATATTAACAGGTACTGCCGATAACTTAACAGAATGTCGAATAGCGTGCACAATTGACCATAAGGATTATTATCTTTATTACTTTTTAAAAAGACACAACGGCAGAACATTAGTATTTTGTAACAGCATTGGTTGCGTGAAAAGATTGGCCACTCTTTTTAATATACTTGAATGCAAACCTTTATCTCTGCACGCCAATATGCAACAACGACAACGCTTAAAAAATCTCGAAAGGTAGGAAATGTATAAATTGTACTATTTTATGTTGAATAATACTTTAAATATATGGAGTTTTTTTATAACGTGTGTGTACGTTACAATGAAAGTATTTAAATGAGATCACGTATCTAATATTTCTGTAATATTTATGTATACTTATAAGAAACATTATAGGTTTCAGGCTGATGAAAATGGACTGTTGATAGCTACTGATGTAGCCGCGCGAGGTTTAGATATACCTAATATAGAGCATGTGATACACTATCAGGTTCCCAGAACAGCGGAGGTAAATGTCCAAGATATTATTGCAAATGTGAACTAAAGACTATATTAAAAGTTGATCATGTATAATCGATTGAATAATTATTTCACAGAATTATGTACATAGGAGTGGTAGAACGGCGAGAGCACAAAAAGAAGGTATCACGGTTCTGATGATGGAGCCTTCTGAAAAACAGAATTACATCAAGTTATGCAAAACTCTCGGACGTAGTACGTTGATGTTAAAATATTGACTCGATGATTAATCAAAGCAAAATATAACATGGATCTGTTCTTACAGCGCACGATTTGCCTATATTTCCTGTGGTAGACAATATATTAATCACGATAAAAAACAAAGTGAATGTCGCTCGCGATATTGATAAGCTAGAATTAAAATACCGCCGGCAAAATAATCAAAAAGGTTGGCTGAAAAAAGCGATCGAGGATATGGACATGGTTTTGGACGAAGAGGACGATGAGTAAGAGAATTGAACCAATTTGCTCTTTTTCCGATTTTTCGCGGCATAAATTATCTATCTTTTTTTTTATTTCAGTGAATCATCGACGGAATCGGAAGAAGCAGCAACGTTGAGGCGACAATTAAAGGCAAGGAAAAATCAACTACGATCGTTGTTATCAAAGCCAATATTCCCGAAAGGATTCTCGGGAAAATATCTCGATGATAATTTGAACGTAGATATAACTCAGGATGCACAGAAGGCTATCGAAGTGATGAAGAAAGTTATAGAACATAATACTGATAAAAGTAAAGATAGTAACACCGTATCTAAGAAGAGACCTAAAGGTGAAAAACATCCGCAAAAGTCAAGAAGATCTAAAATATTAAAAAAGACATAAAATATATATTTTTCTCACACAAACAGAATCATTGTCTTCCTCTTTACATTGTTCTATGTTTGCGGACCACAATTGGATTTAACAAAAATTAGATCAATTTTATTTTAACACAACTTATACTTACATTTGTAATTAATTTGAGCGAATCGTCCATCTTTAAGAAACATCTCTAAGGCGCGTTCTTATTCCAATTGTTAGTTCATTAATAGTATGGCAAAGATATGTACAGAAGATCTCTGTATTTTTCTAGAAAAATACTTATACAAATTTTCTTAATATATCCGTTAATATGATACATCTCGAAACAGCGGATAGAAAGTCGATCGCGCGCGTGGCACGCGCGACGAACACAGCCGGTTTGCCTACACTTTAGGAATTTCCATACATCGCTGCCTCGGGTTACAATGAGAGAACTCTTCCGCTTACGTATGATCATGGGCATTATAAATGCACTTTGTACGTCATCTTAATTTTAGAATACAGTATTATAGATCACTTCGTCCTCTGTACTGATAATCGAGTCAATTTGCTCGCTGGTCACCATCGAGTTCACGTATCTTTTGTTGCCGATCATGTTGTGCGCTCCCAAGGACGAATCGTTGCCCTGCACGACGATCCTGATTCGCGCCATCACGTGGCTTCCCGGGCACTTCTGCGCCTGGTTCGCCGTCGCGGTGTCGCAGATCTCGGCGTAGATTTCCTCGGTTTTGTTGCCGGTCCTGACCAGCTTCGGGAGCGACGGCAGCGGCGTTAGACTGTCCCTCACGCGAGAATAGTTGGGCTGTAGCTCGACGCATGGTATCTCCAGCACGCTGGTCGACACGGACCTCTGCACCGGCTGCTTGGTATTTTGATTCTGGCGCGTCTGATGAGAGGTAGTTTCCGGCTCCAGACTGGAGTAACGCTCCTGAGATCTCATGGCTATTTCCGGCCTCACCGCGAATGTGAAGGAAGCCGACTTCTTCGCGGGATTACGATTTCTGTTGCCCTGAGTGAGTTTCGAGATCCTCTCCAGAATGCCGTTCCCGGTGCTCTGCTTCGTCTGCGGGTTCCGCTCTTTGACGGAACTCCGCTTCAGGTGCTCCAGCCCGTCCTTCAGGCTCTGCAAAATCGGCTTGGTCTCCGGCTTTGGCTTGATCTTCTTCAGATTCATTTCCCTCAGGCTTTCCACAGTCGGCGGGTGCAGCTTCGCGGGCGCTACTCGCGGTTCCGTTGCCCGATCTCCGACCGTTCGGCTGAGATAGAAGAATCAGTTCAACCACGCGAAATATAGACTCTAGTGTAACGAGCAGTTCATATTTTTCGCGACACGTCAAACATTAAATGGAAATTTTTAGAGAAGCCTGAACATTAGAAAAAGAGATTTCATTTCAACAATGAATAACAAATCAAGAATGTAACAAATTCACTTACATTCGTCGATCAATTCGCGCGATGCTGAACAATTTTTTTTACTGAAAAAGAGTCGCTTCTGTTTTAGAGCCGATTAATGACTTTACCTGCAAGCTGATAGTAATCGTTGCATTTTCGGGGAAGCCAGCAATCTCGCCTCCGAAGGGTAACCCAATCGAGCCCTTCGCACTCTCGGTGCTCCGTTACCGGACACGACCAATTCCAGCATTTCCGGATTATGAACCGGTCTCTCGGGAACGATGCAGCCCAACACTATCGGACCACGCGTCGATGTCTCCAGTTGCATTAGACCGCCGTACTCCTTCGGCAACGGCACCGGCAACGGTCCCGCTATCAATCGCACCTGAAGAGAAAAATTTATTTAATCGATAACTGTCCCTAGTAGCACAGTGCACTTGGCTGAACATTGACTAAATATTGGTCCAATGTCAGTTACATTAGAAATGCTTTGTCCGATATTGTCCAACGTAAAGCTATGGAATAAATGTAAATATTACACGATAATAATTATATATTAGATTTATATTAGAAGTGCACTGGCCAATATTTAACAATGTAATAACAATATTGGTCCAATATTAATGCAATATTAGACCAATATTGCTAAATAGACATATTGGCTAAATAAGAAAAGACGTCCATCTTATTGGACCAATATTGGGAATACTAGATTTACATTATTTCCCAATATTGCGCCAATATATTGTGCTACTAGGGTGTGAATAAGAGCGAGAGATATAGAACATAACGGAAGAAAATTAATGTTCTTGGAAATGATTCGTCGATCGGTGTCGAAGCGATGTCGAACCGACGTCATGATTGATTTCGACATCGATCGACGAGTCGTTTCTCGCTGGGCGTCGGAAGCGTAAATTCGTAAATGTAACTCACTCTGAGAGGCAATTGTCTCTTGGCGAGGTGGTGAACCTTGTAGAGCACCGCGTCGCTTCCGGTGTCGACGCTGCCGCCCTGACAGATCGCGTAGAACTCGCCCCTGGTCGACAGCGAGGCGAACACCTCCCGTCCGTGTAGGTCGATGCACTGCGCGTACTGGTCCTTCTCCGGACACCCGCCGGAAATGCCGAAGGAGACCGAGCTGGATCGCCTCGTGTCCTGGAAGACCGCCACGAGCCGCAATATCTCGCCGGCTCTGATCGTCGTCTTCGTGTAATGGGCCCGCAGATTTCCGTTCTCTGAAAGACGCGCGTGCAAAACCGCGATTAGCGCAAATCGCAGCCGCGACACCGTTTGCACACGCCAAGTACGAAGTACGCGCAACCCCGACGGTGCGTCTCCTCTCCGATTAAGTCGCGCGCAGCTGTCTCGTTAACAACGCGTCGAATCCCGAGGAAAGCTCGGCACAATCAATCCTAACAGCCGTGTCCTAAAAGCATCTTTAACGGTACCAAAGAGCGTTAAAAGGCGGCAGAAGTCAAGTCCTTTCCAGTCAAGTCCGACGGTCCCGTGCCAATTTGTACGTGGCATTAGGGTCGCAGGCTGATCATCAGCCCAGCGTTAGCTCGCGTTGCTGCTGATTTTCCCGTTTTAACGAAGTCTCGGTTTTATCACGCGGCAGTTTATATCCTATTAGTGCGTGTCATCAGTCTATTATTAGCTAATTTACGTCACCTTGATGTGGTCTGGTCACCGTCTGGCAAAAAAAAAGAGAAACTTTCTCCTTTCGTTTTCTTGCACGGTTTTAACAAGATTGCACGGCGGCAAGGGACGTTTTTACGGGCGCAGATATGCAAATGGAGTTGTTCTCCGCCTCAATGTGGTTAAAACTTAGTTTTTAATGGAGCGGCGCTTCTCGAGAATGTCTGTTAAAAATTTTTATCCTTTCGCTTGGAATTTATATAGCTCCCTGCTTCCTCGTTGCTCGGGGTATCAATGCATTTAAATTAGAGCGGCAATTCGCGCGCTCACGAAATACGTAACTCCTGCTATTTCTGAGCGTATTACGTTTTTGCTTTGCACGAAGCAAGTGACATTAAGAGGGAAAGAGGGAAGACGGGCGGCGAGGAAGACAGCACTTTCTACGCTGCGCCGGCATTCTTATGCATCTAGGACAATCTAGGTCAAGAACGTTGCACCGTTTGACATTTCGCGAGCGCGATCTCGCGCGGCACCTTCTAGCTTCTTTCGCTCGTACTCACCCATTTTCGAGTGTGTCAACGTGTAGGCTCGCAGAGGCGTCGCTAACAAAAAAGCAGGCACCCCCGTCTTCACCAGGGAATCCACCCTTCGGTAGACGCGCGCGCTGCCCGTCGCGTTGCTGCCAGATATCACAGAAAACCATCCTGAAACGAGTTGGGAAACGTTAAATGTCATTGCGCAGTCACTGTGCAATAAAGGAACATAGCGGTATCCTCAATACCAATTTGACACGATTATTAATGAACGGAATAAATATCATGGCGCCATCCTTCACGGAACTGGCAGACCATTGCACGAGCAACAGGCCCGAGTGATTCTTTGCCGAAAAATACTTTTAATTAGCGCAATATCTGAAAGAACGAAAGGGTACTTTTTGTTTTCTATCATTTGAATTACTAATCTAATGTACACGAAGTATGTTTTACGAAGAAAGTACTAAATCTTTATATCCTGCTTTAAGTCTGATTTTGGTCACCAAAAATTCCGCGTATTCGTACAATGTGTCCGTTTGTAATAATCCTAATAGCACCATATATTGGCGCAATATTGGGAAATAATCTAGTATTCGCAATATTGGTCCAATATTGTAAGATGGACGCCTTCTTTTATTTAGCCAATGTGTCTATTCACCAGCATTGGTCTAATATCATATCAATTTTAGGCTAATATTCTTATCACATTGTTAAATATTGGCCAATGCACTTCCAATATAAATCTAATATTATATATGTATATATGTATAGTGTCCTATCAAACTTTGACTGTGCTTGACACTTTGACTATTAGCTCAATTTTTAACTTTTTAACTCCATATTCTTCACTGTGCAGAGTGATTTCATTTTATTGGACAATGTACCTTTTTACAATCACACTCTCTAACACATCACCTATTACTTGCTGTCACATTTAATTGGTGACACTTGAGAAGGACCAGTATTACTGGTCGAAACGTCGTGAATTAATTAAAATACATTTTGCCAGTCGATATAATCCATTATTGTTGGTTTTTCACTCACTGGCGATCCACCTCTAACTATTCTAATATTATATAATTATTATCGTGCAATATATTCATGGCTTTACGTTGGACAATATCGGCCAATGCATTTCTAATATAACCAACGTTGGGCCAATGTTTAGCCAATGTTTAGCCCATGCACTGTGCTGTTAAGAAATAGCTGTTGCAGCAATGTAGATAGTTATGGGGTGCTTTCCAGCAAGAGACACAGATTGACACAGTGCGGCACAGACAATCGTTTATCCTCGTTTATTAAATGGCAAACGGCAAAGATAAAACGATTCACTGTATTACACAGTGTCACCTGTGCACGTTGCTGGAAAGCACCCATATAGACTTCGTGTCAGACATAGAGAAAAGGTTCTACAGCTCGTTCCTTCTCCGATGGGAGACTCAAGGCTGAATTTTTGTTAATCGTAGCGAGAACGATTAGGACCGGTTGGCAGCTGCCGGCACAACAATTCGCGCGGGCAGCATGTGTGCGTGTGCGTACGTGTGTGCGTACAGCCTCAGGGTGAGTTAAAAAACGTATCTATTATATCTGGCAAGAGAAGGAACTAGCGCTCGTGAAGTTTCAGTCAGCTCGTAAAGAAAACCGCCAAATCGCAAACAGGCGGATTTCAGGCACGCTGCTGCGGCGGAGACACAGTAGCCGAGTAGTGGCCGGTCGGCGCTGATCGAAGGTCAGCGGGTTCTTTTTCTCGTTGCTAATTGATTTAAGAATGCCGCCCCGATGCGAGAGCACGTACTCGAAACCTGGCCCTTAAGAACCGCGCCGGAATGCCATCCAGGCTGTTGCGCAGCCTCTAGGGTCCTGAATCCATCTCCGACGAAAGCAAAAGTTACCTCGGCTTCCTAACGCAAGCAATTTTGCAGAGACACCGAGGATGGTTATGTGATTAAAAGTAATTGTTTTGATCCGAAATATCATTTTTATTATTTCACAGTTTGAGATCTCGAATCTATAATCTCCGACGAAAGGAAAAGTTATCTCGACTTTCTAGAGCGAGTTTTCAGAAAAATTAAAGGAATAATCAAACTCGTCGAACCTAACGAAAGTACCGCAGGCGATCATATAAAAGTAATCGCATAAAGAAAATATTATTCGTCCCGAAATATTATCTTCAATGTTCCAGGATCTTGAATCCATTTCCATCGACGAAAGCAAAAGTTACCTCAGCAAAAGCACGGCGGACGATCATATAAAAGTAATAAACGAAATTAATTTTTTTCAGTGCATGGATGATACAGATAATTTTACCGACTGCGAAATATTTCAAGAGATATTTAAGACGATCCTTAAATATAAGAATTGACTGTAAACTAGCCTTACTGTGCACTCACTGCGCACTAGTGCGAGCAATCGAATTCGCTGTAAGAGATTCGGCGAACGTTCGCGGGTCGCGTGAAAAGGAAAGAGGAAACGCGCGAAGGCGGGAGGGCACGGTTTCCCTTGGGAAAGTTTTTCCGTTTCCGCGCATTAATTCGCGTTCGAGGTTAACTGATGGAATAATCTAGGGATCGGCGGTGCTCCCGGTTTTTGTTTGTTCTAGATCAACGACCTGGAAAGCCAAGCGCGCGCGCAATTAGACGGATGGTATTGGATCTCCGCGTTGCGCTTTCGAGGAAGCCTCGAAGGGAGCTAATAAGGGGGGTTCCCTCGGTCGTCCCTCCGTCGAGGGACGGCTTCTGGATCCGCGGACGGGAGCGTGTACTCCGGAAAAGAAACGTACGGCTGTGCGAAGGCGTGTTGCAGTCGCAGTTGCACAAGCTTTACGCGCGCACGGCCTTCCCTCACTTTCCATTTCCAGCTCGCGCATCCGACATAGGTGGAACACGGCCACGCGAGCGGGCGAGCGAGCGAGCGCGTTCAGGCCTTAATTACAGAGATTCGCCGCATCCGCTGCGAAAAATGTACGGAAAAGTCGAGGCATTCAGACGCGCACGTCGAGAGCGGTTTCCTAACGCGTCGCGCGACCGCGTATATCTCATTGTCTTGCGTAATTGCGAGATCGCGCGCGCCTAACGATTCACGTAATGAAGCGCACGTTTTCCCTCGGGGGGCCTTACCCGGACAACCTATTTCTCCGACGCACCGCCGCGGCAAACGTTGAGAAGAAATGCGGTCGAAATGTAAAAATGCACACACGATAAACAGCTGTACGCGATGTGTATGGAGATTGCGTAGGATCTTATTAAATTAGGAATTTATGCACTGAAATGTAGTTTGGAAGCATCTCGTCTTGGCGTACAATCTTAATAACGGAACTCTATTTAGTATATAAACATATATAACGGAACTACGTCCCAAAGACAAATGTATAGCCGTAACATTTAATAGAGTTCATTAATTCTTCCCTCTAACTCCGTACGCTTAGGAAATGTACAACGCTTTGCCGAGCAAACACGAGAGGAGATACCGAGCGGCCGCTTCACGCGTGAATCAGCCAGCTAAATGTTCCTGAAAATCCGTTTCATCCCGTCGTTTTTAACGCATCACCGCTGCAACGCACGTGTTTACGACCCAAAGTTCGCTGGTGCCGTAACTCCGTAAATGCTGGCCCGTTACCGAACGGAACACGTTGTATTCACGGCACGTGTCAGAATTTAATGCTCGGGCGTTGCTTGGGATAGACTCGCGTAGAAACACCGTGTTTCCGGAATCTTAGATATGTATCAGTGCCGAGATCCAACGTCTCGGCGCTGGGATTGCATTCGAATTCTGTGCTCCCTGCTTTCCACCGAAAACACTCATCCACCTCAACCGGGCAAGTTTTAAGTTTTCTGAAAACTCTTTATCTAATCTTTATCTATCTTTATCTTTATTTAATCTCTATTTTTATCTACACGGAGAGAATTTTATCTTAATATAATATTTACCCCGAAAATCGCGTAATCGTGGGCCAATAGGCATTTTCAACAACTTTCTCAGAGTCTTTTGAAATTTTACCATACAGTTTACGAATATACTTAGTACACATTTTATTAGTAAAATGTATGGTAAAATTTCAGAAAACTCTTATAAAATTCGAAATGCCGTGTTGTTTCGCGATTACATGATTTTCAGGATAAATTTTAAGAGAAAATTCTCTCCGTGTGACAACAAGATAAACTTGAAATGAAATTTTCTTTACCCGTTAAATGCTCAAATTACTAAACATTAAAAGAACTATTTCTGTAAAATATCTTTTTGCATTATGCCGCCTCGATGACAATCAAAGAATCTGAAACTGAATAAGAGACCCATTTTGTTGAACGAAACGAAATTTAGTTGACTCAATTGAATTTCTTGTTTGGATATATGGGCAAACAAATCTTTCAGTTGACACAATACAAAAATTTAGTTGAAAAATTTTGTTATATCAACACATTTGGTTGAGTGAACATGCGTAGAATCCTTTTATTCAATATTCAACTAAACGATTTCACGCAACAAACACATTTATTTAGGACGCGATGAGATGGACGAATTTGTTGTCTCAACTATAAAATTTTGTTCAGATAAACAACCCATGGAAACAAAATAGTTTGTTGTTGCAACATTTAACTTCTTTTCAGCAACATATTTTCCGTTTTGTACAACCAAATTACATGTTCAGTCAACAAAATGATTCAATCAAATTACGTTTCATTCAACAAAATGGGTCTCTCAGTGCACTGAGAAAAATGTCTTTGACAATTTATTTCACTGAAATAAACATTATATGCCACAAATAAGTTTTCAAAGACTTTTTCTCAGTGTGCGGAATCGGACGTCGACCCGTGGTTCAGGTATGCTCGTAGGAGCTGCGTCAAGCATTGCAGTATACTTCGAGAATTCATCCTAATTCCTACCTGGCATGAAAGGAAAGTCTGCTTTCAATGCAAAGGATAATGGCTTCGCCATTGGTGCACGTGGCTGGGTATCTATGACGCAGATGTCGCATTTTTTCCCGTGTCGAAACGCACCTGGAAATCTGGACTCAACGTGGCATAAATATGCGGTCTTTCATGACTAATCCCGTAACATTTAATAAACAGACCAGAAACTATAATTAATTTATTTTATTTCTATAACTTATTTATCTATCAATTCTTTATTAAAATTGCTTGTAATGTCTTTGTTAGATCACTTGAAAAGGACCA